GCCTGTCGATACTAATAAAAAATCTCCTATTCATAGATCTGCGCCCGCCTTTATACAGTTAGATACAAAATTATCGATTTTTGAAACAGGAATTAAAGTAGTAGATCTTTTAGCCCCCTATCGCTGTGGAGGAAAAATCGGACTATTCGGGGGAGCTGGAGTGGGGGAAAACAGTACTCATTATGGAATTAATTAACAATATTGCCAAAGCGCACGGAGGAGTATCCGTATTTGGCGGAGTGGGGTGAACGTACTCGCGAAGGAAATGATCTTTATGTGGAAATGAAAGAATCCGGAGTAATTAATGACCAAAATATTGCAGAATCAAAAGTGGCCCTAGTTTACGGTCAGATGAATGAACCACCAGGAGCTCGTATGAGAGTTGGTTTGACTGCCCTAACTATGGCGGAATATTTCCGAGATGTTAATGGGCAAGATGTACTTCTATTTATTGATAATATATTTCGTTTCGTTCAAGCGGGATCAGAAGTATCCGCCTTACTGGGTAGAATGCCTTCTGCTGTAGGTTATCAACCGACCTTGAGTACAGAAATGGGTTCTTTGCAAGAAAGAATTACTTCCACCAAAGAGGGTTCCATAACCTCGATACAAGCAGTTTATGTACCTGCAGATGATTTGACTGATCCTGCCCCTGCTACGACATTTGCACATTTAGATGCAACTACCGTACTCTCAAGAGGTTTAGCTGCTAAAGGTATCTATCCAGCAGTTGATCCTTTAGATTCAAACGTCAATGATGCTGCAACCTCGGATCGTTGGTGAGGAACATTATGAAAACTGCGCAACGAGTCAAGCAAACTTTACAACGTTTATAAAGAACTTCAGGACATTATAGCTATTCTTGGGCTCGACGAATTATCCGAAGAAGATCGTTTAAACGTGGCAAGAGCGCGAAAAATTGAGCGTTTCTTATCACAACCTTTTTTCGTAGCAGAAATATTTACCGGTTCTCCAGGTAAATATGTAGGTCTCGCTGAAACAATTAGAGGATTTCTTTTAATCCTTGCTGGCGAATTAGATGGTCTTCCTGAACAGGCTTTTTATTTGGTAGGGAATATCAATGAAGTTACCGCGAAGGCAATTCACTTAAAAAAGTAGAAATTTAAAAATAGGGAAGGATTTGAATAAATGACTTTAAAACTTTGTGTACTGACCCCTAATAGAATTGTTTGGGATTCAGATGTGGAAGAAATCATTTTATCCACTAATAGTGGGCAAATTGGAATATTACCCAATCACACACCTATTGCCACAGCTGTAGATATAGGTATTTTGAAAATACGCCTTAACGGCCAATGGTTAACGACGGCACTGATGGGGGGGTTTGCTCGAATAGCGAATAATGAAATCACTGTTTTGGTAAATGATGCTGAAAAAGGTAGTGAGATTGATCCCCAAGAAGCTCAGCAAACTCTTAAAATAGCAAAAGATATTTTAAAAAAAGCTGGAGGAAAGAGACAAAAAATTGAGGCAAATCTAGCTCTACGCCGAGCTCAAACACGGATAAAGGCGATCCATAATATTTCCTAAAAAGCCGCTCTTTTAAAAATACATGAATCTATATTCAAAAGGATAGGTCACAAACTTATTAGATATCTCAGTGGATGGTATCTAATAAGTTGTTCTACCTACTATTGGATTTGAACCAATGACTCCCGCCGTATGAAAGCAGTACTCTAAACCGCTGAGTTAAGTAGATATTTTTATATGCTTCAGAAAATACAATAAAATCCCGCCCATCAATAGAAATTCAATGTATTATAAATATTCTATTCCGAATAAGGAATGTCACTCAAACTTTTCAAATATTTTGGTTTGGATATTTTTATATTTTTCATATAATATACATAGATAATATAAATAGATAATAAGTATAATCACTAATCATTAATCATTCATTAATATAATAATCATAATAATGTGAATTAATCTTGACAATAAATTATTTACATCACAAAATCGTAACTACTAAAGGAAATAAATTTTGAAAAGAATTTTTTTTTTTATTTTTTTAGAAAGGAAGCAAAATTTTGATTAAGATAGTTGTAAGTTCCGATGTGAGTCAATTGCTACTATGATTTCAAAAAGCGATTTTCCATATGGAAAAGCCAGCTATCGGAATCGAACCGATGACCATCGCATTACAAATGCGATGCTCTAACCCCTGAGCTAAGCAGGCCGAACTTGAATATACACGATAATTCAATAAAAAAAAAAGAAAAAAACGTGGGAAGATTTCATTCTTATTTAGAATGAGTAAACAAAAAAGAAATTTATTTGAATCTTTGAATGTACTTTATTTTTTAGCTAGCTAAAAAATAAAAGAAGAGAAAAAACTCTCTGATGAATGCTAATGAATGGAATGTTTGAAGCTAAATGAAATAAATGAGTACACGAGATGCCTCCCCATACGGGGGATCAACATAAAAAAAGGGGATATGGCGAAATTGGTAGACGCTACGGACTTAATTAGATTGGGCCTTGGTATAGAAACTTACTAAGTGATGACTTTCAAATTCAGGGGAACCCTGGAATTAATAAAAGGGGCAATCCTGATCCAAATCCTTTTGAAAAAACTTAAAGGATAGGTGCAGAGACTCAACGGAAGCTATTCTAACAAAGGGATTTGACTAAACTAACTACTTTAATATTCATTGAATTTATTGAATCATTAATTCCATAATAGATTCTGAAATTTCGATTTTACGAACCAAACTTCTGAATGGGACAAGAATAAAGAGAGAGTCCTTTTCTACATGTAAATACATACAAAAATGAAAGTTTTAGTAAGAGGAAAATCCGTCGACTTTAAAAATCGTGAGGGTTCAAGTCCCTCTATCCCCAAAAACCTAGTAGATTCCTATCCTTATCCCCTCCCTTTGTCTTTTTAGTGGTGGTTTTTTGTGGTTGTTTAAAGTGAAAACTAAAGTCTAAAGGTCCTTTTATTATTTTATTATAAGTTCTAATAAGTCTTATTCCTGTGAGCGATTTGAATACTTGAATTCAAAAGTAACATATTTGAGTTTTGAAGTGAAAATAAAACTCAATTTTAGGACTTTTCTAAAAGTTTGTAATCCGCTTTTTATCTTTTCATTGCATTGATATTGATATAGAATTGTAGAATGTAGAATTGATATAGATATAGATATATATCCCACGACCTAATCAAATGAGTATCTATCTTGGGAATGGGTCGGGATAGCTCAGCTGGTAGAGCAGAGGACTGAAAATCCTCGTGTCACCAGTTCAAATCTGGTTCCTGGCATACGATTTCTTTATCTATCAAATATCATATATATAACATAAAAAAAAGAGATGGGTAGAGTTTCGTAAGGTTCTATTAAGGTTTTATATTGCTATTTCTTCTTTTTATTCAATTTGAACATTTCAATATCAAACGTTATATAGAAAATAGGGTTTCCGTTTATCATCCATATTAGTATTTAAATTTATGTTTATATTAAATTTATATTAAAATATATCTATTCTAAATATTTCCGTTAAAATCCATATGAAATATTATATATGAATATAAAATATATGATATATGATCTAGATAGGTTAAATATGAAATTAAATATTTAATAGGTGGTTCTTTTCAAGTTAAAAAAGCATAGCTCAAATCTGAAATCAGAAACATAATAAAAAAAAAGGCTTTATTTATATTAAGATTTATCTTAAGGAGATATTACGATGAACAATTGGGAGGATAACTTTTGGATTGTTGAACAGAGAGCGATACTTAGAAATAGACTGATAGTGACACTAAGAAAGTTAATTCTAGTGATAATAGGAGAGAAGATAGTGATAGAGATAATGACACAGATAATTCTAGAGCGACGAGGGAGGGGACTTATAGAAATTAAAAATAAAGCATCATAATAGAATATCAGAGTACACAGCAACAATACATATGTATTGAAATACTAAACAATAATAAAAAAAAAGGAGTATTTATGTCGCGTTATCGGGGACCTCGTTTCAAAAAAATACGCCGTCTTGGGGCTTTACCAGGGCTAACTAATAAAAAGCCTAGCGATATACGGGATCTTCGAAACCAATCTCGTTCCGTGAAAAAATCTCAATATCGTATTCGCCTAGAAGAAAAACAAAAATTGCGTTTTCATTATGGTCTTACAGAACGTCAGTTAATTAACTACGTTCGGATTGCCGGAAAAGCCAAGGGGTCCACAGGGGAAGTTTTACTCCAATTACTTGAAATGCGTTTGGATAACATACTTTTTAGATTGGGTATGGCTTCTACTATTCCTGCAGCTCGTCAATTAGTTAACCATCGACATATTTTAGTGAATGATCGTATAGTCAATATACCCAGTTATCGCTGCAAACCTCGAGATATTATTACGCCGAAGAATAACCAAAAATCAGTAGGAGATCTTTTTCAAAATTATCACGAGGAATTACCAAACCATTTAACCATTCACCCAGCGCCGTATAAAGGCTTAGTAAATAACATAATAGATACTAAATCGGTCGGTTTGAAGATAAATGAATTGCTAGTCGTAGAATATTATTCTCGTCAGACTTAAATCTAACGAACATAATAGAGGTTACTCCAACTTTTTTCGGGAAACTCAATTTACTTAAAGTGAACTAAGATAAATCCGGGTTTGATGCTACTTTATTAAAGCTCTGTCTCAGAGATAAAGAGCCAAGGGATCACTAGATTCATTGCTAGGGTTGAATCCTTTGGTGATAGTCAATTCGGTAAATTGACTTAAGGTACGGAAAGAGAGGGATTCGAACCCTCGGTAAACACAAGCCTACATAGCAGTTCCAATGCTACGCCTTTAAACCACTCGGCCATCTTTCCTATATAAATAGTATGTCTAAAAGTCTAAAAATACGAGTGAGTAGCGAGTATTTTATATTCCTTATTTTTAATTTTTAGGATTATTAGATTATATGACCAATATATCAAGTCAAAGCAAATTTTGAACAAAATTTGTTTTGAAAAAAAAAGACTCAGATTTAGAAAACCAAGGTTTTCTTCTGTATCTTGTTAGTGAGTTTATTTTCATCCTAGAAAGATTTTTCTAGATTTTATTTTTCAATATATTTTATGTTATTTTGTACTATCGTATTTGTACTCTAAAATTCTGTTTATGTGGGCCCACACGAGCAGAATAAAATGAAAAATGGATTTCTACCTATGTCTAGATCTCGAATAAATGGAAATTTTATTGATAAAACCTTTTCAATTGTCGCGAATATCTTATTACGACTAATTCCGACAACAGCAGGAGAAAAAAGCGGCATTTACCTATTACAGAGATGGTGTGATTTGATTATTGATTTATCATTTCGTTCTTTTTTTCTTTCATCTTGAATAATTTTTCTAAGTTTTATGAGAAATACAGACACGTTAAGTTATTGATTAAGTGATTGAAAAAAATCTCCGCTTATTGAAGGTGAAGTTTTTATTCAATTTAACAATTCCTTCTGTCGTGTAATCCTCGATTAATGTAACCTAAAATGCTAGATTTGATTTATCAATTTTAGTCTTAAGCGGAAGGTTAGACCTATAGGTTGGACTGGTAAATCCTATTTTATTAGTGCTAATAAAGAACATAGGGGAATAATCACTACATCTAGGAATCAACAAAATGAAAACTTTGTTTTAAATCAACCACTTCTTTTTGTGCTTTGGAGTGAAAGAATGGTTGCGAACACAAGCATCCATCTCGTTCGTATGTGGATACCTGTATAACTATCGAAGGCTGTTGAAGTGACTAATTTCCGGAAATTAGCAGGCGTTGAAAACAAATAAATGATTTAGGAGTTTTTTATGATTTCTACATATATAAAAAAATTTAGTTTGATAATAGGAAAAGGGGTCTTACAGGAAGGTTGGCTAGAGATTTCTTGTATAAACACTAGCACTAGCTCTACTCAGTCGATAATCAGAATATTTATATTTCTTAGATTTTCTTTTTTTTTGATTAAATGCATTCTCATTATGCACAGAAGGGAGGAGAGGAGCCGTATGAGGTGAAAATCTCATGTACGGTTTTGGAACGGAGATTCTTTTTTTTTTAATTGATTACTAACGACCGTAACGTATGTCGGCTCAATCCGAAGGAAAATATGCGGAAGCTTTACAGAATTATTATGAAGCTATGCGACTAGAAATGGATCCCTATGATCGAAGTTATATATTGTATAATATAGGTCTTATCCACACAAGTAATGGTGAACATACAAAAGCTTTGGAATATTATTTTCGAGCACTAGAACGAAATCCATTCTTACCACAAGCTTTGAATAATATGGCCGTTATCTGTCATTACCGGGGAGAACAGGCTATTCAAGAGGGAGATTCTGAAATTGCGGAGGTTTGGTTCGCTCAAGCCGCGGAGTATTGGAAACAAGCCATAGTGCTTACTCCAGGTAATTATATAGAAGCCCATAATTGGTTGAAGATCACGGGGCGATACGAATAAAAAAATGTACTCTACTTTGCCTCGCTTTCTTTGAACAATTTATTCTTTTCTTTAATTCTATGCCTTACTAAATGTCCTATATCATTTAGTATTTTTAGTATTTTGGAAGACAAATAGGGTAAAAAATATACTTTTTTTCTTTTTATCATATTTATGATAAAAAGAAAAAAAGTATTAATGATTCATCGCATCAGTTCAAATAGGGGTAACAGCGCAATTCATATCTTCTAGGTAAAAAATCGATCTAAGAGTTTCAAAAAGCCATTTTACGTAAAAAGGTCCGCTGAGCACTTAATATATATGTCATAATAAATCCGACCACTTGTCCCGTAGCAACTTTTATATCATAATTGCTTTAGATAAAAATAAACCAAAGGTGAAATTGGCGGGTCTCTTTGTATATGTTGTCCGTAAAGAAAATAGGAGGACTCCATGATTATTCGTTCGCCGGAACCAGAAGCCAAAATTTTAGTGGATAGGGACCCTGTAAAAACATCTTTTGAGGAATGGTCCAGACCTGGCCATTTCTCAAGAACACTAGCTAAAGGTCCTGATACTACCGCTTGGATCTGGAACCTACATGCTGATGCTCACGATTTTGATAGCCATACTAGTGATTTGGAGGAGATATCGCGAAAAATATTTAGTGCTCATTTTGGGCAACTCTCTATAATCTTTCTTTGGCTTAGTGGTATGTATTTTCACGGTGCTCGTTTTTCCAATTATGAAGCGTGGCTAAGTGATCCAACTCATATTGGGCCTAGCGCCCAAGTAGTTTGGCCAATAATAGGTCAAGAAATATTGAATGGTGATGTGGGAGGGGGTTTTCGAGGAATTCGAATAACCTCTGGTTTTTTTCAGCTATGGAGAGCATCTGGAATCACTAGTGAATTACAACTCTATTGTACCGCAATTGGTGCATTGGTCTTTGCAACGTTAATGCTTTTTGCTGGTTGGTTTCATTATCATAAAGTAGCTCCAAAATTGGCTTGGTTTCAAGATGTAGAATCTATGTTGAATCATCATTTGGCGGGTCTACTCGGACTTGGTTCTCTCGCTTGGGCGGGGCATCAAGTACATATTTCTTTACCGATTAACCAATTTCTAAATGCTGGAGTCGATCCTAAAGAAATACCACTTCCTCATGAATTTATCCTTAATCAAAATCTTATGGCTCAACTTTATCCCAGTTTTGCCGAGGGAATAACCCCGTTTTTCACCTTAAATTGGTCAAAATATGCCGATTTTCTTACGTTTCGGGGAGGATTAGATCCTGTAACTGGTGGTCTATGGCTGACCGATATTGCACACCATCATTTAGCTGTTGCTATTATTTTCCTTATGGCGGGGCATATGTATCGTACCAACTGGGGCATTGGTCATGGACTCAAAGATATTTTATACGCCCATAAGGGTCCATTTACAGGTCAGGGCCATAAAGGTCTATACGATATCCTAACAACATCATGGCATGCTCAATTATCTATTAACCTAGCAATGCTAGGCTCTTTAACTATTATTGTAGCTCACCATATGTATTCCATGCCCCCTTACCCATATCTCGCTACTGACTACGGTACACAACTGTCATTATTCACACATCACATGTGGATTGGTGGATTTCTTATAGTAGGTGCTGCCGCTCATGCCTCCATTTTTATGGTAAGAGACTACGATCCAATTAATCGATACAACGATCTCTTGGACCGTGTCCTTCGACATCGTGATGCTATAATCTCACATCTGAACTGGGTATGTCTATTTCTCGGCTTTCACAGTTTTGGTTTGTATATTCATAATGATACAATGAGCGCGTTAGGGCGTCCTCAAGATATGTTTTCAGATACTGCTATACAATTACAACCTGTATTTGCTCAATGGATACAAAACACCCATACTTTAGCACCAGGTACAGCAGCAAGCACCAATTTTACTTGGGGGGATATAGTAACAGTGGGTGGTAAAGTAGCTTTGGTCCCTATTCCATTAGGAACCGCGGATTTCTTGGTCCATCATATTCATGCATTTACGATTCATGTGACAGTCTTTATACTCTTGAAAGGTGTTCTATTTGCTCGCAGTTCCCGTTTGATACCGGATAAAGCAAATCTTGGTTTTCGTTTTCCTTGTGATGGACCTGGAAGAGGGGGTACATGTCAAGTATCGGCCTGGGATCATGTTTTCTTAGGCCTATTTTGGATGTACAATTGCATTTCCGTAGTCATTTTTCATTTCAGTTGGAAAATGCAGTCAGATGTTTGGGGCAGTATAAATGATCAAAGAGTAATAACTCATATAACCGGAGGGAACTTTTCCCAGAGTTCTATTACTATTAATGGGTGGCTTCGCAATTTCTTATGGGCACAGGCCTCCCAAGTAATTCAGTCGTATGGTTCTTCATTATCTGCATATGGCCTTTTTTTCTTGGCTGCTCATTTTGTATGGGCTTTTAGTTTAATGTTTCTATTCAGTGGACGTGGTTATTGGCAAGAACTTATAGAATCCATAATTTGGGCTCATAATAAATTAAAAGTTGCTCCTGCTACTCAGCCAAGAGCCTTGAGCATTGTACAAGGACGTGCTGTAGGAGTAACCCATTACCTTCTGGGTGGAATTGCCACAACATGGGCATTTTTCTTAGCACGAATTATTGCAGTCGGATAATGGCTAGGAGGATTTGAAAGGCGCTATGGCATTAAGATTTCCAAGGTTTAGCCAAGGCTTAGCTCAGGACCCCACTACTCGTCGTATTTGGTTTGGTATTGCTACTGCACATGACTTCGAGAGTCATGATGATATTACAGAGGAACGCTTTTATCAGAATATTTTTGCTTCGCACTTTGGTCAATTGGCAATAATTTTTTTGTGGACTTCTGGGAATCTATTTCATGTAGCTTGGCAAGGAAATTTTGAGTCGTGGATACAGGACCCTTTACATGTACGACCTATTGCTCATGCTATTTGGGATCCGCATTTTGGTCAACCGGCCGTGGAAGCTTTTACTAGAGGGGGTACCCTTGGCCCGGTGAATATCGCTTATTCTGGTGTTTATCAATGGTGGTATACAATCGGGTTACGCACTAATGAAGATCTTTATACTGGAGCTATTTTTCTATTATTTATTTCTGCCATTTGCTTAGTAGCAGGTTGGTTACACCTACAACCTAAGTGGAAACCAAGTATTTCATGGTTCAAAAATGCTGAATCCCGCTTAAATCACCATTTGGCAGGACTCTTTGGCGTAAGTTCCTTGGCTTGGACAGGGCATTTAGTACATGTTGCGATTCCTGCGTCCAGAGGGGAGTACGTTCGATGGAATAATCTATTAGATGTATTACCGCACCCTCAAGGATTAGGTCCCCTTTTTACAGGTCAGTGGAATATTTATGCTCAAAATCCCGATTCAAGTATTCATTTATTTGGTACCTCCCAAGGAGCAGGAACTGCCATTCTAACGTTTCTCGGAGGATTTCATCCCCAAACGCAAAGTTTATGGCTGACTGATATGGCACACCATCATTTAGCAATTACATTTCTTTTTCTCGTTGCTGGTCATATGTATAGAACGAATTTTAGTATTGGGCATAGTATCAAAGATCTTTTAGATGCACATAATCCTCCGGGAGAACGATTAGGTCGTGGGCATCAAGGGCTTTATGACACAATCAATAATTCGCTTCATTTTCAATTAGGTCTTGCTTTAGCTTCATTAGGGGTTATTACTTCCTTAGTAGCGCAACATATGTACTCTTTACCTGCTTATGCATTCATAGCACAAGATTTTACTACGCAAGCTGCATTATATACTCATCACCAATATATCGCAGGATTCCTTATGACAGGAGCTTTTGCTCATGGAGCTATTTTTTTAATTAGAGATTATAATCCCGAGCAAAATCAAGAGAATGTATTGGCACGAATGTTAGATCATAAAGAAGCGATCATATCTCATTTAAGTTGGGTTAGTTTATTCTTGGGATTTCACACCCTTGGACTTTATGTTCATAATGATGTCATGCTTGCCTTTGGTACCCCGGAGAAGCAAATCTTAATTGAACCTATCTTTGCTCAATGGATACAATCGGCTCACGGTAAAACTTCCTACGGGTTCGATCTACTTTTGTCTTCAACAAGTGGTCCAGCATTTAATGCAGGGCAAAGTATCTGGTTGCCTGGTTGGTTAAATGCTGTTAATGATAGCAGTAATTCATTATTCTTAACAATAGGTCCCGGAGACTTTTTAGTTCATCATGCTATTGCTCTGGGTTTACATACAACTACATTGATCTTAGTTAAAGGTGCTTTAGATGCACGTGGTTCCAAGTTAATGCCGGATAAAAAGGATTTTGGTTATAGTTTTCCGTGCGATGGCCCAGGCCGAGGCGGTACTTGTGATATTTCAGCATGGGATGCGTTTTATTTGGCAGTTTTTTGGATGTTAAATACTCTTGGTTGGGTTACTTTTTATTGGCATTGGAAACACATAACCTTATGGCAGGGTAATGTTTCACAGTTTAATGAATCTTCGACTTATTTGATGGGCTGGTTAAGAGATTATTTATGGTTAAATTCTTCACAACTTATCAACGGATATAATCCTTTTGGTATGAATAGTTTATCAGTCTGGGCATGGATGTTCTTATTTGGACATCTTATTTGGGCTACTGGATTTATGTTCTTAATTTCTTGGCGAGGCTATTGGCAGGAATTAATTGAAACTTTAGCATGGGCTCACGAACGTACACCTTTGGCAAATTTGATTCGATGGAGAGATAAACCGGTGGCTCTTTCTATTGTGCAAGCAAGATTAGTCGGATTAGCCCACTTTTCTGTAGGTTATATATTGACTTATGCTGCGTTCTTAATTGCCTCTACATCGGGTAAATTTGGTTAAATTCCCTGTGTTTTTATCCTTGAAAATATCATTTTTTTTTTTGATG